GTATGAAGCAGGAGCCTCTGAGCTGGGATTGTGATTCTACTACCTTCTTCACAGCTCTCTGTGACCCTGTTTCATTCCGTCAACTTCAGGCTGCATATGCCACAAGAAGCTTTTCAGAATCAGAGCATTTTGCCTGCCTAATTTTGCCGACTTGTATAGATTTTGTTGATTTGGTTATTAGTGTTTGCATTTTGTGCTTCTACTATGATTAAGTACACTACGTAGTTAAATGATTTCTTTTTGTGTCTGTTTTAACCGTGTTTATTGTTTTACGATCGGAAGTCTCCACAGGGTGTTTTATTTTGAAAATTGACCAGATTCTCTATGCTGTTCTGTATCTGATTTCCTGCCTGGTACAATTTGCTCTGTGCTGCTTGACGCGGCTTCTGTCAAAAATAGAACGGCTACCTATTCTCTGAGGAGAGGTGCAGAGAGACGCTTCTGGGACACTTCTGGCAAGCGCTGTGGCTGCGTCTGATGGACTGACAAGCATTAACTAGAATGGCTGCGATTAACTCAGGCAACCGTGGAGCAGCCGTAACGCACCGTAGCAATGGACGTGTATGTAAATCCAGCAGTGAGAGCGTTCACATAAAAGAGGCGGTGTTAGCAGCAGATGACCAATCGCAGACATGAACAAGTCCACTGTCAGCAGAGCGTCATATTTTACAAACGAAGAGCAAACTGTAAATGCTCAAATAGTGGTGAAAGACTGAACTTCAACATTTAGGCTACTGAAAACTCCCCCACATTAGGCTACCTGCGCCCACATCGCAAAAGGTGGGGCGGAACATGACCAGTATCTGTGATTGCTTATAATATAGCTACTAAACTATAAATAGCCTATGTTTATAAATAAACGTAATTTCAATATCCCTGCCAAACTGCTTTTGTTGTTGCTATTTACATTCCTCCCAAAATATCAAAACATGTACTACCGGAACTGTTTGAGGTCATCAGCAGTCATCAGCATTTTGGTCTATCAGACCATATTTCTCTGCTTCTCCTGCCCACTTACACCCAGCTGATTAAAAGGGTCAAACCATCAGTAAAAACAGTCCACGTGTGGACAGCCGAGGCTACCACAAATCGACAGAACTGTTTGGAGTGCAAAGACTGGCATATGATCAGAGAGGCCTTGAGGAATATAAATCATCAGTGACATCATACATCAGCAAACGTGTTGATGATGTAGTGATCACTAAGACAATAAAATCATTCCCCAATCAGAAGGCCTGGATGAATGGAGAGGTGAGGGCTCTGTCCAGAGCCAAAAAAGCTGCTTTTCAGGTCAGGTGACAAAGAAGCTTACAGCACTGCTAGAGCGAGGTAAAGCAGAGACATCAGCAGAGACTGGAGAGACACCTCAACACCAACAACACCAAAGATATGTGGCAGGCCATCAAAAACGTCATAGGCTACAAAAGCAGGAGCATCATGTGTGAGGCCACATTACCAGATGAGCTAAACACATTTAATGCTCGCTTTCATTTCCTCAACAAGGACTCAGCTGTAAAGTCTACTCAACCTCCAGAGGCCAAAGCAGATGTGAGAAGAGTCCTGCTGAGAGTGAATATGAGTAAATCAGCTGGGTCTGTACTAAAAATCTGCACCAACCAGCTAGTTGATGTTATTACTGACATTTTCAACATCTCACTGTCTCAGGAGAGGGTTTCCACCTGCTTCAAGACAGCCACCATCGTCCCCTGTATCTAAAAAGTCTGCAGTGTCTAGTCTGAACGACTACCACCCTGTGGCTCTCACCCCCATTCTGATGAAGAGCTTTGAGAAACTGGTTCTCCAACACAAAAAGAGCAACATCCCAGTCAGCCTGGACCCTCACCAGTTTGCTTTCAGAAGCAACAGATCCACAGAGGATCCCCATCTCCACTGCCCTCCACTCAGCCCTCGCACACCTTGAGAAAAACAACACCTACAACAGAATGCTGTTTGTGGATTTCAGCTCAGCATTCAACACAATCTCCCCATGAAACTGATCAGCAAATTTAGCCTTCTGGGCTTGAGTACCACACTTGACTTGATATTGGACTTCCTCACAAACAGAACCCAGTCAGTTCAGAATAGCGGACTCACCTCCTCCACTCTAGTGCTCAACACCGGAAAAAACGATAAAATTAAAAACGATAAAATATTCTTTATGTGGTTCATCAATGGTGATAAATTATCAGAAAGTCCCGCGAGGTGCGAACAACTCGGCACAACACCGTGAAGCTGGGGCTTTGTCTCTTCAGCAAGTGTTCCTCCTCTGCCACTGCTCACATACACGCTACGCTTACACTGGGTTAGGGTTACCTTTTTTGAGTTATTTACACACTTCAAAAACATGTATTGAAAGTTTTATTCTTTTTACATATTTATTTACAGCATTAAACGTTGAAATGCATATTGTACTTATTGGGAAAAAACTGGTAGTTCTATGTAAAATCCGAAGTTGAGCACCCCCATATCACCAAAATGGCATGATGCTCGACTGTGAGATTGACAGTCAAATCAGGCTCCGCCCATCGAAGCATCGAATCTTTGACTATTCAGGGTCAGCCCTAATTGTTGCCATACTAATAACACACAAGTAATATTACAGTAGTGAATATCTCTCCTTCTAAAAAAGAACCTGCTCTTTGGAATTATATTGTATCATTACAGTTTATCATTGCTTTTTTCAGTATAGCTAAAAACTGTTACATCATTTCTTGCACGGTGGTACCTAGAATAGTAATAAGAATTGCGTTAGCCGGTGAAGTACTGTGGTAAGCGATGTAATGGCGCATGTACGTCACAGCCTACGTAAAGTAATGGATTTCGCGGAAACATCCGACCCGATATCTTCGCATAGGAAGCAGCACAGAGGCTTTTACAAGCAACCGAGAGAGCAGGCGAATGGTTAATTTTTATGTGAGGCTACAACCTGTTCACAAATAGGCAGTAAAAAGTGACCAATTTCATTTTAAAACAACATGTAGCCCCTTTAACTTTTACGGAGGAGCAATAGAAAGCATCCTGACTGGAAACATCGCTGGGATGTGCAGGAGGGCTCTGCTACAAGTGATTAACAGCTCAGAAGATCACTGGTACCCATCTACCACGCATCAGTGATATTGGTGAAAAAAGACAGTACCCACCCAGCCACAGCCTGTTCACCCTGCTGCCGCCTGGCAAACGATACAGAAGTATGTGCCGTCGTACCTCCAGACTCAGAGCAGCTTCTTCCCTAAGACTGTGAAACCCCTTAATTCATCCAGAACTCCACCATATAAAACAGTTTTATTTCTGTATATAATTATTTTTAAAAAAAATTTAATGTTTGCTCTTTGTGAGTAGCATGAAGGGAACTACAAACTTAATTTCATTATACAACCATGTTATGTAAAATGACATATAAACATTAAGTATAAACTACATTGTGCTTTGTTTTTTAATTGTTAAGAAAATGATTTAAAAAAATGTTTCCATGGAAGAATTCTGCCAACACAAAAAACTGATCCCAGTATCTATAACAATACAATAAACCTGATCTGTATTTGGTGATTTAAACCACACTATTTAACATGACAAAGTAAATTTACTTAACCATCTCTCACAAAATAAGAATCTCAGTTGTCACTGGAACTGAAAGTGTGTAGCTTCTCTGTGGTTCTCACTAAGCCACTTTCTGCTGCTGTGTGGAGATGCATTAAAATGCACCACGGGTACATTTCATCACACATACTTGTCAGGACAGCATGTCAGGGGCCATTTCCTCTTGGTCGCATGTGATCGGGCATCAAGCTCTATCAGCAGTTCAGACCAATGATAGATGGCATACAGGCATTAAACTGTGGGGCCTGTGGTGTGCCAACCTCAACATACATGCACATACATTACACACTGACACATACTTCTGAAGGTCTAGCTTGTTGTTTTGTATTTGAAAGGAGAAGACATTGCAACAGAACTTACTGACCTCATCTTCTAACAGGACCATTAGGACATCACAGCTGGAGTCACACAGCCAGTGAACCAGGATGTAAAACCATACAGCTAGCATTAATCTGACACAGCAGATGACCAAACCACTCTGGACAATACAACAGAGCCTCTATAAACTTCTTTCTGTTTATATACTAGGCTGGAGCAGTTCCAAATGTTGGACAGATTATTGTATGTTGTCATTTGTGTTATAGATTTGATACCACTTTCTAATAAATCACCTTTTTATAAAGTGTTTTTAAGTAGTAACTAGTGGCTTCACTAATGGTTAATACTTTATTTACTTATGCTTTATTTATGTTTATTTTATAGAGTGGGTTTGGGGTGGCTTGACTGTAAAAATGTCATTTTAATACTACTTTCAAACGAGGCAGTATTCCCAAAGGGTGATAAGTTGCAAGTAATGGCTTTATTTATGGTTAATACGTAACTTCCCAATGATTCATAGATCAGTTATTAGCTAACAATAAGCAAGTCAGGATCACCAGGTTAGTTTGAAGAGCTACCTGGAGCAAAAAGCATTTACAAACAACTTATTAACATTCACAACTGCAAGCTTGGATGGGTTCTGGTAAAAACCTGAATGACTTGGCACCATATATAACTGTTGGTGTTATGGTTTATAAGGAAGTGAGAAACCCATGATTCACTCATGGATTGCCGACATTTACAATTTTACCAAATTAGGTAAGCACCAGCCAAATTGAATTTTCACAAACTGGCAACCCAAAAACTCTTCTTAACAGCTTATAACTGTCTATAAAGCATTAGCGAGTGATAAGTTAATATTAATAAAGCAATTAGGTTAGTTTAACTTATATAGCCTTTGTAAAGGGTGCCTTACTAGAAAGTGGCAATTTAGATAATGAACTTAACCCCTTAGTATAAGACAACACTTTTCATTCATTATTTAAAGGTATATTAGTCTACTGGTAAAAAAAAAAAAACACACAGAGAGGTCGACTAAAACTACAAATGACAAAAAAAATTATTGAGCACATGTTACAACTTACCATATTGACTTCTGACACCATGTCTATACTTGCCACGTCTATACTCATGCCAACAGCAACCGGTGGACCTAAATAGACAAAATAAGTTAACTATGAATTTCACTAATTCAGTATCATAAAGCTGTGTGGTAAAGACACATTTCGGGGGCGCCATTACAGTGCCCCACACCAAATGAAGGACCCCAGACATACATACCTCCAAAGTCTGGCCGAAGACGAATATCATATCCTTTCAACAGTTTATCCACAGTCTCTTTGACGTAAGACATGTTCCCCGGTTCGTTGACGCTGAAAGAGAGACAGACAAGGACGGTAACCCTTTTGGAAGACGGACCCCCCCCATACCAGTGTCCTGTTTTAACCCCTGGGCACTCACCTCTGGGCACAGCACATCACTGCCACGACCAGAGGTAATGAGAGAATGTCAAAGAGCCCTTTTTTCTGGGGTCCCCACATCCCTTGTGTGGTGTCTGGTTGGATGGGTGCTGTCCAGCGTTCACCAAATAACTAGCCTAAATGAAGCAGCCACAGTGCTCACACTCCCGACGAGCTCCGCTTAGTCAGGTGAGACTCCTGCCACATTATGTCTACCTCTGGCGCAGCCTGCGTGAACATGCTTCACGAGGCAGAGGCGCGTTTCACTTGGATGTCAGATGTGTTCATCGCTGCCTGCGATACGGCAGCGGAGCCGTAAAGCCTCGCGCAGGCTGCCCCGCATCTCCATCCTCCGGTTAGCAGCTTTCAGCTTTTCGCATTTTAGCTCACAGTCACCCCACAAAGTGTCAAATATCCATTACCGCACTTGTGGCCGCGTGTAAGTATAAGTGCCCGAGTCCGCTGTATACAGTGTGTCAACAAAATCCTTCACAGAGCCTGTTCATGCTGTGGCTAACTCTGAGTTTGCAATATGACTCTTCATATCGGTGTCCGCGAGGCTGTCCTGGTAACGATTAAAGCCCACGTGACAGACTGCATATAGACGCGTATGCGGTTGTCCTTAATTGCAGAGCTCAATTATGTTAAGATGCAGTGGCGTGCTGAGAGGTGGGCTGAGGTAGGAGGGCTCAGGCCCTTTTCTGAAAAGCTTTTCCACTTTAGCCTACTATGTGTGTAGCTCATAATGAGACCTCCCCATTATTGCTCACATGTCAACACCAGAGGGGCACTGGGGCTGCCCACAAGTGTCCAAGTCCCTCTCTGGTTGTCTCAAATGCCACCAAAGATGCCCCAGTGGTTGGTTAAAAAGGCTTCTTTGTGAGTTTCTCAGGTCCCACTCTGGTGTGACAAAAAGTGGGCAAAAAGGAATCATGTTTTGTTCTAGACCCCCCACTGCCTGTAGGAAAAACTATGGCTAGATGGCATTTAACCTGTGCGGAGACTATGCAACTTCTGAAAAATGAATGAACACATTCTTCCTCTAAATAAACAATGAAAAGTTGACTTCATAGGAAATAAAACACACCTTTGCTCAATTCAATGCACTCAGCACTTTGCTGTTAGATACCCTATTTACTCTGGTGTGACCAGTAGTTTATGAAGCCTAATGTTAGCCACGTTTTGTTAGATAAGTCTCTTGCTTGTTTATAAAGAACATTACTGAGTCACTGCTGACTTTAATTCTCTTCTCTATTTGCTACATGCTACTGTAAGGCTATACAAACATTTAACATTTAGCCTACCATTAGCTCACTGGAGACCACATCACCCTCTGTTCAGCAAAACATCTATATAGGCTCACATTGAATTCAGTTATAAAATTGGTTATATTTTCTTTGCTCCAGAAGATGTATAGCAGTATAAAGAAATCATCTGACTACTGTTTAAATATTTTAAGGTTAGACACATGGCAAAGATCAGTGGTAGGTACGCAAGAGTGGGTTTGTAATAATACATGTACAATGCCTATTAAAAGTACAGATTACTTCTCATTTTGGCTGCCTATGAACATTGTGGGCCCACAGAAGTCTCTTATTGTCTGTTAAATCCACTCTTGATTATTCTTGAATCTTGGCAGGAGATGTGAGAGAAGCTTTGGTTCTGGTGTGAAATACTTTTGTGTCACTCATTTAAGTTGTCCCTGTGAGGATTTCATGAGAACGCTATCTGTATACTTTCTCTCTGAGCTCTTGTTTCTGTTTGCTACAGTATTTGCCGTAGAAGAGGAAGTTCAATAACACTGCAGAGGAATGAGTGTGCTTGAACTGGACTCTTCCCAACAAATTTCTCCTTCCATTTATTTAAGAGGCAGACGCTGGTCTTTCGCTACATTTCAAAATGAACACTTCTTTTTACCTAACTTTTAAGAGAGTGATTCTTACCTTGTATCATAGATGGCGTACAGCTTTTTGTTCCCGTCAACAGCATTCCTGTAAATACAAAAGAGAGAGGAATTTCTTTCTGTGCATTGACTTTGTCTGACACTGACTTTGTCCATGCCCCAGCTGGAGATTTGTTTCTGAATCCAGTTCTGAAGGCACACTGTCAGGAAACACAAGTACCAGAAGGCTTTCACCTCGAGTCCAAATGCACAAAGGTGCTGCAGTTTCACAAACAACTCTCTCCACATGTTCAATCTTTTTAAATTGTAAAATAAATCCACCTCTATAGGTGACTCAGTTGAAAGTGGGTTGACCCTAATCCTGGTGAAGGTGAATGCAGAATGATGAAATGTGCTGTAGAGTTTCATTTGTGCTGCTGACAGGACTCTGTTTTTTCAGGTTTGTGTCCCACTTAAGTCAGGCCTACAATAGGCTGCACTCTCACGAGTGGAAGACATAGTAGTTCTGCTAAAAGGACTCAGCCTTTTCTCTTCCAGAAGCGATTCCTGTACTTAAAACCAACGATCCAATACCAGTGTCCTCTTTGTCGCCCCATATAACTCTGCCTCACTGCATGGAGCTCATTGGGATCACTGCTGTGTAAGTTAATGTGAGGATGTGACACGTCAAACTATGTTTAGCTTTCTAAATTATTTAACTCTTGTTTTAGATTTAATCAGTGCACCACTACTCTCCCCACAGCTGTAGAACAGTAAAACAAATGGCTCAGTTGAACCACCTGACACTTCCTCTGTGTACTTTTGGCAGTGGAGCTTACACAGTATCATTGCATACCATTTAAAGTACCAACGCACTGTTAAAATTTGAGGGAGAACCCCTATGGCTAATCGCTGTCACATTCTTGTAGTGAGTTTTGTTTCTGTTGAACTCAAGTTTGTTGCACCCATAATATACAGTCTGTGATATGTTGTGGTGCTACAGTGGTTGTCTTTGTTACTTTCTCCTTTTCTTCTTTCCTTTTCTCCTTCTCTCTCTCTCTCTCTCTCTCTCTCTTTCTCTGCCATGGCACCCCCTCCCCTATCTGCCTCCCCATCTCTTTACAGCATCTCTCCTCCACACACCGGCCATATATCCTGCTGCTTTTCTGCCCGCACTGCATGCTCGTCAATTTAATTCGCACCAAAGTCTATTTGCATTGTACTTTGCCTTTGGATACGGTATTGGATTTTTTTATTTTTTTTTTATTTTTACAAAGCTTGCTGTGTGCTTGTAGCTCCTCAGAGACCAAACTAAAGGATGGTCAGTCAGCAGAAGTGTTGGGAAGCCTTTATTTTCTCGATGCCAACCGTTTAATCGCTCCGGGGCGAAATAAACCTCGCTGACTGTGAAATTAGTCCACATCTTTTTTTTTCTCCTTCTTCTTTTTCTTCTTCTTCTTCTTCTTCTTCTTCTTCTCCGTCTCCAATATGCAATTATTGTGCGCGGATGAAGGTGGCGGTCTTCGGAATTGATGCCAAATACTGACCAGAGGAATCTGCGTGTGTGAGATATCTACAGAGCTGGGAGAAGTTTGACTGCGCATCGTCTTGTGTGGTAAGCTTTGGCAACTGCGGCTCAGCGGCTGTGCAGCAGAGCGTTGTTATAGGCCAGCGTACAGTAGGAGATGTAGTAGGACGTGTGGGCATCATCGGAGGAGAACAGGCTACAGTAGTGCGGTGCTGCTCCTGGAGAGGACCTGCACCGGGAGACTGTAGACTTAGAGAGCCGCGGACGCTGGTGATGAAAGGGGTATCCACACTTCGTGTTCTACTGAAGGGAAATTGGACGGCGTGTAGGGGCGTGAGTGCACGAGTGAGTCGTGAATGAGGGGGGATGCGGTGCAGGCTGCGTACAGTCAGCAATACTGAGGGGGCTTTTACTGCATGCGAAGAGTCCAGCTGCGGTGCACAAAGGATTGCGGGATTAGTAGCAGTTGTGCTTGTGGAGATGTGGATATAGCCTATATCTACAGTAAACAGGGAGAGTCGTTTCACACCAATAGCTTTGACTGGTTTTAGCTTTACCCAGTGGTGGGAAATAAAGCACAGATCAGCCTCTGTCCTGTCAGAAGTCATCAACTTCTACTGAACGTGAATTAGTGAAATTGAGTCTCTTGCAGGAAGATGGGTGGACGAGGAAGGGGGGTCCGGCAAAGAAAGGACACGCTGTTTGCAAGTCCAAAGATGTAAGAAGGAGGAACTTTGCGTTATAGTTAAAAACAACAACAACAACAACAAAAACAATCAGGCATCAGCTAACATCTGCAGCTCCTGACCTGCAGTATTGTCCTGTGGTGTTTAGAAAAGCACCATATGTACACATGTGGGTGCATGGACATTGCTGCATTTGGGTATTACAATACTGTCAGCACATTTGTAGTAGTGAAGACATTTGTGCCCCTGATAAAGATGTACTAATCACTTTACACCCAAATGCATGCATGAGGGTAAAATAATACTTGCTGCCAGGTAATACCTGAAAACCAAGGCTGCTGGCATTAGGCTGCAACACTGCACCTTTTTATAATTAGTGATGTGTTGTTTGATATTTAGGTTATTATTTAATTTCCACAGTGAACCTGCTAGAACAAGGGGGAGTATACAATAAATTATTCTAAAATTGAATGATATTAATTCTGCTTCAATTTGACATAAAGAGAAACAGTAAGTCATCAATGCAGGTGAAAAACACAGTTGTTGTAGTTTTAAACAGGTGAGCTTGTCTCATGTTTCAGGAATGGGCGATGGAATGTGCTACAGCTCTGCAATGAGACGTCTGTGGGTCTGTGTCTTGCTTGCGAGCATCACCTGCCGTCTGAGGTAAGGAACTAACTCCTGCAACTTTGCAGGACAACATAAAGGCGCAGTGTGAATAATTCTTATTAGATATCGATTGCTAGTATTTGCTTGAGTGATTGAAATTTAAGCTTTAAATGACTTTTTGTTTTGAAGGCAAGCTAGATTATCTTAGTTTATGTTACATCTTAGTTAGTCTTTTCCTAATTTGTGTCCCACTAAAGTCATGCTGTGAAAATGCTCTCATATCCAGCCTCTCCCAGGATGTAACTGGAACTCCCAAAGAGGCTGAATTAAATGACAATATTACCATCTTCACACGCATCCTGGACGGACTGCTGGATGGTTATGACAACAGACTCCGCCCTGGACTAGGAGGTAGGCCCACTGGATACACAAACCTCAACACCTCTGCCAATTTTGCTGATTAAATCAGTCACACATATGCTAGGTGAGATCTGATTATGTCATTATGACAATGTCTTGGGGGGTCTCTCATTTCAAACAACAACTAATACAGTAAGCTCTTCGGGTGTAGATGAAAGAAAAATGTGTTCTTCGGGCTCTGTTTCGGTAGCTCTGTGTGAAAGATTACAGCCCTTCAGTCCACACAGAGAACAATGCTCCGCACTGCAACATCTGTCTTCTGCGTGTTCCAGACACGGATAATGAGTCTGTATTCATGAAGTCTTTGACAAAGAGATTATCTGGTCTCCATGAAGTATGAATTGATGCCACAGTGAACACAAGCTAAATCTGGTGGTTTGACCTTGAGAAAGCCATTATTCCTGTCATTAAACAGCAGCTCCATTGTTCTCAGTAGAAGCAGGCCAGAGTAGGCGGCGGTGAAAAAGTTCTAATGAGAAAGGAAAAATAAAAAGACACCAAATCTGGTCGACACAATAAGTGAAAGAAATTGGTTCTCTTCTGCTGCTCT